TCCTGCACCTGCTGGATGTCAAATGTTTTTGCCAACTTTCGACATTTCAGGGCTACAAACAGAGCACAAGGGCGGCAGCAGCAACGCTTCGGTTTGCTTTATCACATATTTCTCAACTATTGTTGACTCATCCAATTCTTGTAGTACCAATTTTGCCTTGTCTACAACACTCCTTAAATAATGCCTGAAGCAAAAGGTACAAATGCAGCTGTGTTTCCATAACACGCTGTTACACCACAAACACTAAACGTAACCAATAGAGACATCAGAACCAGATTTTGCAACAAGTAGGCTTAAAGGCCTTAACACTGCTCTTGAAAATGACAATACCACTTTAGTCTTGCCCATACAATAAGATTTAAACCACATTTTCTGTTATAGAGCAGAACCATTTCCACTACAGATTTTTTTTTTTTAAATAATTTTTTTACAATAAAAAGCCCAAAATAGAAAAAAGAAAACAATCACTAATGAAACCTGTTATCTCAAAAGCTGATCCTGAATCCAAAGACTAAGCTATTGCTTTTGAGTCCCTTTTTGGATCTGAGAAGGGTAAATCCAAAATTGTAATCCTCCAGCTCTCTGCTTTTAGGCTAATACGAGAAACAGCTGATGACAAAAGCATGACAGCATAATGCTTTATTCATGCAGATGCCTAGAAGTAATTTGGTTCTGACTGGGCTCTGATTACTTTTAAGCCTCCATTAAGATCTACATTATGTTTTTCAGACCTTGCTCGAGAGTTAACCTGTAGGTGTTCCTGTAGGCATACCAGCTGGATTAAGTTCTACACAAAACACTGTCAGTCCATGCCTTTTGGGGAGATTTAAAAAAATTACTATTTTTTTATATATTTTTAAAATAATCTCATCCTGCAACTGCATTATGTACAAGTATTTTTTATGTTCAGTAAGTCAGTGATTAGATCAGTCACGAGACAGGCAACCTGTACTAAATATTTTCTTCCCAAATTAAGCAGATGCACTATAAACAGCATAATCCTTTATGAGGGTCTGCCTTCTTTCCCCTGTGTTAGGCTGAAGACAACACAAGAAAGCTCCTCTCCTCTTTCATTGCTACAGTGAAAGAATCTATTATGAGTTTCTGTAATGACCTGACATCAGGCAGCAAAGGAATACTCTTGCAAAAAAGGGTTTCCTTGTTAGCGCCCAGTGAACTCCTGAAGAACAAAAGAAACGTCTCTTGGCTCTGAAGATTTCTGAGACACCAACGCAGAGCTACTACAGGCAACTCAATATGTGTGTTGTTGAATCAATGCTACTCAGTGCGGATAGAAAGACAAGACTCAACGTCAGCTGTTGCAGGAAGTTCAGTGTCTCCAGAGAACCTGATTCATACGTATCTCAGCTTGGCTGAGCTGGAAGCAGTGCTTCCTCGGTGACGATTGAAAATGCCTGGCTAGGATGCTTTCTTGTCTTTTCTAATGTGCCTTGGTGACGAATATTTAAAAGATCTCTTTCACAAACATGTTAAATTAACGATAGGTGATTGCACACTTACATATTAGTATGTATTACACATATTACATACTTACTAATCTTATTCTATATTACATATAAGATACGATACCTACCTATTAGTGTATATTAGTTGTGAACAAGGATCTCTAACAAGCTACTTTAAAGAGGTTCACTTCTGCCTTGAAGATTTGTTACCATTTTGGTGCTTCACTGTGTTGTTCTGCTGAGATAGTTTGACTTTAAAAACTACATTATACTTCAAAAAAGAGCTTCTGTCATTTACCCTTATACAGCTGATCTTAAAAAATTAGCATTTAAAACTGCAGTTTTAAGACCACTGAAGTGGCAGCCTGCAGGACTGATAAGCAAACTCGTCTATGGCTGCTCTTGAATTCTTCACATGATGATTAAAGTAATGATCAAGCAGCTCAGACCCAAAATGGAAAGCAAGATTTCTTCACCAACCTCACTATTTTAAACCCTACAAGGCAAAACGTGGAGAAGTGAGGATAGGGAAAAATGAGGGGAACTTCAGGGAAAGAACAAAGAACACAGCAGCAAATGCTCTGGATTTAGGCACAGGAAAATTGCTTTGATGCAGGAATTGGTCAAGTCAGAAACTACCCCGCCAACTTTGGTATCAGGAGTTTATCACAAAAGAGGGTGGAGATGGTGGAGGAAAAGGGAAATGCAGACATACATTTTCTGCTGCTGCCTGATTTGTTTAGGGAGCATTCATGCCCAGAAACAGCTAGTAATAAGTTATGGTATCTGAGGATTATGCCAATGCTTTGCTGTTCTGAGGAGTCAGATGGTATCTTTTTAGATATCTAAGTATAGATTCTAGAGCTTAACTTTTGTCAGTCATCTTTGGCTTTTATTGACTTGGAAGAGTTTTCAAACAGGAAAAGCTGCTAAACCATTACCAAACGTATGTCTTCTACTATGAAGATGGGAGAACAGACAAATAAAGTAAAAAATTAACTGTACTTCATCTATTAGTTTCTTTGGTTAATCAGAACCTACTGACTTAAGTTTTCCTTATATGATTGGTGCATAAAAGGTAAATTTTTTATACACAGCATATTAGCAAAGTCTGAGATTTTGTACATGTGTGCACACACATACATGTATCTGCATTTGCCTAAGAGAGAGAGAGAGTAGCCATATGTGTGGGTGGGATTCATTTGTCTAAACATGGATGTCCAGTGCCATTTTAGGTATCCTACTATTCTGTCTAGTCTCCAGCTACTGCTCTGTAGGGCAATGGGTCTCCTTTAGGTCCTGTGCCATATCTAACAGTCCCACATGAGTTTCTTGGATGCATCAGATGACACTCAGTATTACATTTAGGCTACTGAATATGATACAAAACACATGTCCACGGACTTACTCTAATCCTAAATGCTGATCACTGTTTTCTTGCACACAACTGTTTTCATCCCAGAGGACCAAGTTTTATATAAGAAAATGCAACCCTTAAAAGCAGCTCACTTACACCAAGCAAGGAGGACCCAGTGAGCATTTTGGATTTTTGTTCACATTTGTCAAAAAAGCATGGAAATGGTCAACATGCCATTATATGCTATATAAATGCAAGTTTTCATTAACACAGACGGATTCAAAACACAAATAACACAGTGAGGACACTGTGATAAATCTTGACTGCATGCATAGGTATAAAATAAAACCTGCAAGACGTGACATGCCATTTTAAAATCCTAGCTAAGCAAGAAAAAAGTGCTTGCCTCTCATGGGAACAGGAAGGCAAACAAGACTTCACAAAAAGACAGGAGATTGCATTTCAATGAATCCCTTGACTTTTGGCTTACTTTCACGTCCATCAACAGATAACTAGTGCCAACACATACCTATGTCAGATTGACGGTGAAACATCTTGCAAGAGTAAAAGCAAGTGTTTTTAGGGAAGACCACCTGATTTATTTTTACTTAAAGTATTAACCTACTCCTCTACTATTATTTTTTAAATAGAAATTCTAATACCTCGTTACACTGTTGTAAAGAAAGGCTGGTGGCATAAAACACCAGTAGCTGTTGGCTACTTATGGAGGAGAAATTTCTATTGCAGCTGTAAGCCACAATCTCTCTACAATATGAGAAAAAGAGTTGTCTGTTACAGTGATTTCTGAAAGAAACCTTTGAAACCACCTGCTTAAGAACAGGCCTGGAGGATACTACTCAGCTGGGAGTGTATGAGTACGGCAACCTGAGGAAAGAAGATATCCACTGAGGACATTTAGGAAAAAAGCATTACTAGTGTCATCATTTTATGGCAATTGCAGACTTCGGTTATGTTTAATGAAATCCGTTCTCCATGCCAACAAAAAAATTAAGAAAATAGCACAGACATTTGAATTTATAAGGACAGAATCTGCAATGCCAGCTTCACGTTTTTTGTTGTGCAACTACAAAGCTAATGCTTGCCTGCCTTTGAAATCAGAAGGTAAGTTTTTAGTACAGTGCTTTGGCCACACCATTTCCACAAATCAATCCAAATCCATTTAAAATGCATTCTGTTAAGTGCTTTTATGGAAGATAGAGGGGAACTAAAACACCAGGAAAGCATCTTTCCTTCCCTACCCATAAACCATAAAAGCTACCAGACTGAAAGCAGAGAAACTTGGAGCCATCTTCATCATTTCATGTTTCTCCTCCTGCGTGTCTAGCTGCTTCTTATCAAAATAATTACAGCTCTACTCCAGGATAAAATTTGCATGCAACAGACACTCATAAATCTATTAAAAATTTTGCACTTTACATCCTTACACTGTAAGCACAGATGCTTCCAATGACTTTTAAAATGTTTGGTATAACCCTATAGGAACAGCGTATGAGTAAGTCCAATATACCTGTACAGTTTCAGAGCAATTTTGTGTAGTGTACACACCCAGAAAATTAAGAGTTTTGTATTTATTATAAAGGTGTACATACTAACCTGCCAAGGCCGATCCCAATCAAGAGGAATAGGAAATGCTCCAAACCAAGCTCCAAGTATACTGCAAATGGTAGTAATCTGTAGACTGCTTTCCCAGATGGACATAGCTCTGTAAAAACAGCGTGTCACAAGATTTCAACAGCAGCAGAAGTTACCATGTCAGAACGTTAGATCTGATTTCTCCCAGGATTGTTGAGACTACAGATATAAAAATCCATGTATTTGATAAATAGCATGCAGGTTTCTCCTAAAAGATACAAACTATATGTAAAATTTAAGTTGCGTATTTTAGCTATAATCATAGTCTTTCTATACCACATATTTAGGAGATTTCCCCACCCCCCCCTCCCCTGCCCCTTGAGATGTTTACTGCAAAAGCTGATTTATTTTACCTGGAAATACTCCTAACTGAGCTTGAAACACTACTTGACTGATCAAATGAAAATATCACAAGGATATGGTGTGCATTGCAGGGAAAAGCAGACATGAAAGGGTAGCATGGGATTGTATAGAAAAGTGCAATAACAGTCACAAAGTACTCTATGGTGTAAACATGTTATTATTTGATGACAACAACAATTTGAAATTTAAAATGGAAGTCCACTATGTGAATATTCCAAAGCAAATTTCCATCAACTGAAAAGAAACATTACAAGTAAGTGTAATCTGCATGTTGCAGCCCTTCAGCAACATTGCATACACTGGCTGCAGGACAGATTTATGGCATGTTAAAGAACTCTGGCATGGCCAATCATGGCACACACATCATTTCATAAGAGATGTTAATGACTTCAGTTCTCAGTTTACAGACTTCTACCACTAGTGACTTCCAAAGTTTTGGAAAAGATGAGTTTCCATTTACTAGATAAGCGCTTACTGTTCATCATCAGTCTGCCAAGTGATTGCTTTGCTTTTCTAAAGCCAGGAACATTTGAGGGCTTGGTACCAATTAGGAAACAAGAACAGCAGAAGTTCAGAACACAGGCACAGTTCTGAGACTGGAGAACTGGGTTGAAATCCCTGTTCCTAATCAGTAAGTTAGAGATCTGAATCTTGAGTTTGCTAAATCTCGGAGTATAAACACAAACCTACCTTTAGCTAAAAGAAGAAAAAAGATGTGCATTTTCATGGCTAGAAGACTAGATTTATAGTAAACTCTGAACTTCACGTGTGCTGTTTAGGTTGCATAACATGAAAGCTTTAACCCTACACTTTCTTTTGAAGAGTCTAAAACTTCTGACTTTGACCACACCTAACTCTCTGCTGCATTTGCTATTGATCAAACAGTTCACAAGTGTAAAGCAAACATTTTTCATTGTTTGCAAAATAAGGGTCATGCAGATTATAATATTTACGGTGCAACATTGACATTCAGAGCAGAACTGTTTCTTCGACAATAACCCCATACCTTTAATTTACAACACTCCATTTCAATTCACAATCCTACCAGCTTGAGATTTTTTTTTTTAAGGGAAAAGTCCCGAACTAACTATAAAACTGTTTAGGAGTCTGCCCATAGGAATTCTTGTAAAGTATTTTCAGAAGCGGAATAACTGAGCGGAGAGCTGTTGGACAGCACGGGGAAGAGAGCATTCACTACAGCCTTACAGCGGTGAAAGAGCCAGCGGAATGTAACAAGGGCTGACTGAGGTGCATTTATCCCCCACAAGACATCGTATCTGGTAAATCTACACACATACTGCTGCACCATATGGAGATATCAGACTGAGTCCAGAAGTAAAACAACGGAATTAGCAAGGCACAGCGCCCAAGGGAAGAACAGCCATTGGTAGTTTGGCAACCATTTGAGCTGTTAATTAATTCAACCACTCTGCAGCATGGACACTGGCTACTCAAATACTACGTGATTTGTCCTCCAACATTATCTCGCAGGAACAATGCTCTGATTATTTTCTTTTCTGGATGGAATGTCACCTATTGGGATTTTTGCAGATATTTTTTTAATCCATAAACCCATCACATATTTGCATGAGGCTAACAACTGCAGCAACGTTTATAAACTTTGAGTTTATAGGTTTCTTTATTTTTTAACTATGAAAAAAATAAAACCATTCTTGCAGGCAAAACTAGCGATATTTAAGATGATAAACAATCACTAGTGGCACAAGGGCTTTTAAAAGCCTTAAGTAATTATTTAACCCCTTTAAATAACACAATCCATTAAGTGCTGGTTTAAATAGTTTGAATTAAGAGGTTAGTTAACATAAAAGATTCTACTAAGACAGCTCCTGTATAGACAAGATCTGGAGTTCTGCACTGTAGCAGGACTGAAATATGAAGCAGCACACCACTTTGATGATGCCCACCTTTAGAAAGGACATTTCCAAGTCTCCAAGAGTATGTGGTTCACAAACAAGTGATGAAATAGATGAAAACTGGATGGAGCCCTAAAGTTATGGTTTTATACTATTTTTTTACAAGCACCAAATAAAACCTATTTCCTATTCAGGTGACGCCTTGTAATTGCTATTGTACCAGAAATTTCATCACAATTACTCAGACTGTTTATAGCCTCCAAATGGAGTAATAAAAATTAGCAACTGAAAGCTGATTTCTTAAAGGCTTTTATGTAGGCGGCTATTTCAGCCAACAGTTACTGAAAATGCTTCCACTAGTGCAAATAACCCTTTCCATAACTTTTATTTTCCTCTAACTGCTTACAGCGGCATATGATCAGGGTCATGACATTGGTCACAACACTAGGTAGCAGAATACAGAGTCTAGAGATGGCTGGCGTGAGCCCACCCCTTCCCAAATGTAGAATGAGTGAAGAGAGCCCTATTTACATTCTACTTAGAAATGAACTTTTTGTGATGTAGAATGCGCAAGCTTACTTTTCTCATGCATTCCATGTGGATATAGACTACAAATACGCGGCTAAGAACAAATTGTTAAAATTTCTTAAAATAAAAGTAATTTAAAAATATTTGGTCCATCATATTGACATTTGCAATTCAAAAGTGTACTCGGATTGAAAACGTGGAGCATGTGCAATTTTCCAACAATTGTGTTTCATGCAATTTTTTCTTGTATTCAAGAAAAACCCCAACCAAACAACACCTCCCTGCCATCCTGCCAACAACCCAAACTTTAATACCAAAAATAAACCTGCAGTTTCGCAGATTACATATTATCATGAGATGGTGCATATAATCCACCTCCCAGAGGCATGGACACTTAAAGAATGATCTTGTAGTAACTTTATTAGAAGTGATTTTACTAGAGGTGACTGCTTCCAAGTGCTGCAATCAGAAACAGAAAAAGCTAAGCATCTCTGCAGAAAAAACATCCTCAAAATATTTATGTCAGACTGACTCAATTGTACCATAGCTATTACGGTGTAATAGATTACATACAAGATGCTTGAATATAACTTTATGAATAGTCCTGTGACAGGATACTATGTATACCAGTATTTTCACACTAGCCCATCTAAACCAGCAGAAAGCTATCCAGAGCAATAGCTAGATCATTAACATCTACTACTGGTTTGCACTTGACGTATCATGATAAACTTTCTTCTAGTACATGTCATTTTCTGTCTTTCTGTAAAGACAACAGCACAAGCACGTTTTGATCTTATAAATATCGCACAGGCAAATAAAAGTAACAAAAATAAATGCCAGTGGTTACTTAAGTCTAAATTATTTTTAAAACAAATTCCTTTTTCACACTAAGTTATACTCTTAACCAGTCTTTCCAGCTTGCTGTCCCAGTGCAATTCAATTCACTGAACTCTTCCTTCAAGGCAAACAGCTCAGTTGATCTTTCCTAACCATCCTTTTCCTCCATTCAACCAGTCCCATCTCATTCCACACAGTTAAGTTAAAGACAACCTTTTAATACATCATGTCTACACTCAGCTCATGCCTAAGCGCAAGACCTTCCAACTCATTCATGAGGTGAAATGAAAAAACATAGAATTACTTTTAAAAGAGCAGCTTGCTACAATCCATAAAAAAGTGTGCTACAATATTTCTTTGTAGTCTATTTTCATTCAAAGGCTAGTCTAAATAAACATCATTATTAAATAGACATTTTATTCAGATAATGTCACATGGCTCACTAGTAAGAAGTATGTACAAGTTGTCACAGCAAAAATGTTAAAACAAGACAACCCTGTTTCCCATGCAATAATTGTGCTGAAATAACATTAAGATCTAGACTAGGAAAGAAAGAAAGAAAGAGACAAGCATTTAAAATCTAACTTGGCACAAACATCTGTCTGACAAACATCTGTGTAAAACATCTGTTTGAAATCTGAATTCAACTATTATTTCCAGTTTCAAAACCTCCAAAGATGACTAAGTGAATCAACAATGATTTGTTTTGACTAAATAACTCCACGTTTTTATTAAGTTCTTGCAAGGTGTCATTTCTATTACTCTATTCACCCCTTCCAATGAAAATAAAAAAAACAAAACAAGTATAACTGACTTCAGTAAGGATTTAAGATATTTTTCAGTAAGCGGAGAACTGAGATAAACCAAAAGTCAATATCTGAAACTACTCTAAGAAGTCTACTTTTGTCCTCCTTTACAGAATTTTAAATCAAAAGTAATTCCACAGGTCAGCAGTGTAACACAACTTTTTACTTTCTTTTGAGACGAGACTTCACCCTTATGAACTATTAAAAGGAAACGAATGCTAACATCTTATTAAACCTCAAGCATATGTGGGCTTCTTTATGTTTCAGCATCCCAGTCTTCCAAAAATGCTGTTATACAGCGAGTGAAAAAGGCAGAAGAGAGAGAATACTTCTGAAAAATACATTATTCTTGATACACGCTAATGTCATGGCTGTCACTGAGATGAAAATGAGGTAAAAATGTTTGTTTTACTTTAAACATACTCTTGAAAAAAATTAATGCTTGGAAAATCTTGACACTGAAACAACTCTGTTTGAAATTTGACAAAGAGTATGAGTAAAGATTACCTACTTAAGACCACAGTTAATTATATATAATTTTCACCATTATATTCAAGTTCACAGAATGTTAGGAATTGGAAGGGACCTCAAAGGATCATCTAGTCCAATCCCCCTGCTGGAGCAGGACCACCTAGATCAGATCACACAAGAACGCATTCAGGCGGGTTTTGAATATCTCCAGAGAAGGAGACTCCACAACCTCTCTGGGCAGCCTGTTCCAGTGTTCTGGTACCCTTACTGGGAAGAAGTTCTTCCTCATGTTTAAGCAGAACCTCCTATGTTCCAGCTTATATCCATTTCCCCTTGTCCTATCATTGGATGCCACTGAGAAGAGCCTGGCTCCATCCTCATGACAGTCACCCTTTACATATTTATAAACATTAATGAGGTCCCCCCTCAGTCTCCTCCAAGCTAAAGAGACCCAGCTCCCTCAGCCTTTCCTCATAAGGGAGATGCTCCACTCCCTTAATCATCTTTGTGGCCCTGCGCTGGACTCTCTCAAGCAGCTCCTTGTCCTTCTTGAACTGAGGGGCCCAGAACTGGACACAATATTCCAGATGTGGCCTCACCAGGGCAGAGTAGAGGGGGAGGAGAACCTCTCTCGACCTACTAACCACACCCCTTCTCATACACCCCAGGATGCCATCGGCCTTCTTGGCCACAAGGGCACATTGCTGGCTCATGGTCATCCTGCTGTCCACCAGGACCCCCAGGTCCCTTTCCCCTGTGCTGCTCCCGAACAGTTCAGTCCCCAACTTGTACTGGTACATGGGGTTGTTCTTACCCAGATGCAAGACTCTGCACTTGCAGTGTAAAATACTGTTAAAATAGTGTTTGTTTTGCCTTGTTATTCCTGCTTTAAAAGTTGTGTTTACAAAGGTGCTATTGGATCATGTGCAAGATTTTCCCTTTACAGCTCAGTCTCAGGTCTCCTCTTTATTTGGCAACCATCATACTGGACTGCACAATGGTTTTACACCAGTAAAATGCGCGTTTGAAATTCCACTTCCTTCAAAGACGTATAAAGTGAGATTTAGTGTCTGGACACCAAAAATAAAAAGCAGGTTTTCTGAATCAATGTGTTCAAAATAAATAGTAACTTTCTTTGTCAGAAAAGCTTCTCTAAGCTTATAATTACAAATATAAAAAAAAACCCTTAATTCTGGAAGTTTTCCTTTCTTTACAAAGAATTCCATGACATATTGTTTACATCAACTCTGTCCATTTCCATTCTGGGTAAAATCAGAAACTTTAGAATAAGACTTACCCATTTTTACTAAACACCCGTATCCATGCTTGTATGTTTGGTCCCAGCACACACAAGCATTGTAAAGTAGTAAAGGTAGACAGCAGAACTGCAAACAAAAACGTCTCAGTCACCGACCTACAAAGAAGGAATATTACAAAATTAAGTGAGGTAGTTATCAACTTTCTAAGACTTCCAAGATTTAGGAGAAAACCCGATCCTCTAAGTCAACATGCGAAAGCATGCATGCTTTCTTAAACCTCAAGTAGAAGAATAAAGTATTTTCTTCTTACTCTGTAGAATAATAAAGATGGAAAGAATTCTGGCATCTGTTTGTTATCTCAACGAAGACTGAAATGCAGTCCTTATGTTAAATGCCTGATACCTGTAACATTTTAAGAAACACAGGTATACTTCATATAGAACATTAATTCTGAATTGAGGTATGCTTGGGTATTTACTTCATTGTTCTATTTATTTTTCTAGTCTGGTGTTATGGAAGCAACCGTGAAACCAAACTATGTGGTGCCATTGTTTCTCAGCAGCTTAATATCTCTTTCAGAAATCAGGCTGCTTTGTGCCTCTCATTTTTTTCCTTTCTTTTTTAATCAATTCTAAAAATTAAAACACTAATATCGAAAGCATGAAAGATATGCAAGATGTGTGTTTTAGAATCTTATGGGGAAAATTACTAAATGAAACATGGAAAAATGTTTGTACCCATATATTTAACATAAATATTAATGTAAAAGGAGTTGTTTGTAACTATCTTGAACAACACATCTCCAAATATACAGAAATTGTAAGAGCCAGCTTCTAAAACAAAACAAAACCAAACCACAAAAAATGCCACCCTTCTTCCCCAGCGAGAAGCTTATCCTTTAACTTCCAAGGAAATATACAAGTACTTATACCAATCTCTGCAAGGAGAACTGCCCCTTAAAATATTTAAAGAAAGACAGGGTCTTCTGACTTACTCTATGAGAGGTGCTCCATAAAGAACAATAATCGCATGAAATAGTATGCAAGACATGAAAAAGTATATACAGCATTTTAGAAATCTGGATATCTAAAAAAGAGCAATAAAATATCAGAATAATGTTTCAAAAGAAAAGAACATAAGTAACATACATAGTCTATATCTTATCAATAGTGTTGTACTCTATTTCTTTAATCTCAGCTACAGAACAGTATGATAATAGCATGGCATATTTCAAAACAGTTTTCCCTATGTTTAATGCTTCAAACAATTCATTAAAAATTATCACACTCCACCTAAATTTTCTTCATACACCCTACTATAGTAAGGCAAACATACAACAAAAACCAAAACAGGAAATGTCAAGATAAACAGAGATTGTTTTATTGGATACTTTTACATTTCTGTTTTACATCTGAGTGTTACTTCCATTCACTAAAAGCCATCTTTCACAGAAAGTGAAAAAAATATTTAAAAGCAAGAAAGTATGTCATATGAAAAAAAAGCACCACAAGACATTCAGAATCGAGCGTAATACTTGAAATTACATGAAATAAAAAACACTACATTTTTAACTTGGCATCTTAAATTCTAAATTCATTTCAGAAACGTCCACGACTTTTTATAAATCTGCAGAACACAATTTTCTATGAATTTAAACAACAGTTTCGGGTTACTCACTATATCATATAGAAGCATAGCCACTTGACAAACCATTCTGACCAGGTCACCAGTAGAAATCCACAATTTCACTTGAACACTTTTTTTGATATTTATTCCTTATGCTAGGCTGGGATGAAACCTCACCTAGAATATGAAGCCTGCTTCATTTTTAAATCACAGATGGTTAAAATACTTGTTTTCTATAATGATTTTGCCTATTTCACATCCCCCTCAGTCAGCAAAACTAGACAGAAGCTTTGCATAGAAAGATACTGCTTTCAGGGATGTCTACTTAAATGTTTAAGAATCACCACATCAGAGCACTAAATCTTATCTGACTCAGCAAGTTGCCAGCGTATTTCACCACTCCTGAACAAGCTGTGTGCTGCTCCAAATTCCCTCTGTTGAAGCTGATTTCATTGGGATTCACACCTGTAGTGCTCTCCCATGACAAATTGTAACTACGAGAATTCAGATTCAGATTTTCCTGCATGCAAACTTTGTTATTCAAGATGTAACCATTTTAATACTTTTCCGCATAATTAAAAAAAAAAAATCCACTTCGTTTAAATTGTAGTGAACTATTCGCTCTTCTGTTTCTCAAATTCTAAAAACTATTTCTCTTCCTTTAAGTTTATTAGAAACTCGTAACTATGTAAGAGAAAAGTGTCTCTTCACAACGCTGAAGGCCGGGCCTGGACTATGAAGCTGCTTCTGTGCCCATTCAATTTTGCCAATTTTTGTCGCTATGCAAATTGTTGGAAGACCAATGGCTGGGGCTACAAGCAACAATACCTTGACGGGAAACGGGAAAGGCACTGAATCGCTCACCTGTACGGGTTATTTACGGGTAGGTAAAGTTTAACATCACGGAAACACTGCAGAACTTATTTCAAAAGCTGTTACACTCGGCTCATTCGTGGAAAACAAGAATTCACCACCAAAAGCTGTAACTCCTTTCTTTCTCATTTGATTATTTCAGCAAAAGAGCTCACTTCCCCTCTGAATTGTCTGGTAGCAATTTAAGAACAAAAAAAACTTACCTTGTGAGCAAACGAACTTCTCTTAGGAGCCAGATTTGGTTTAAGGACTAAGTGCAAGATTATACTAAGGGTACTAACGCACACAGAGCAAACACACAGCCACGCGAGGTGCGTTCCCAAAACCGTGAATCCCTCCCAGAAGAAAGGTGGAACAAGCGCCGTCAGAATAACCGAGAAAACGCGGAGGAGGTTGGCAGCTACGAGCCTCCTGATTTC